TCTCCGCAGGTTGTAAATCACGACCACCTTTACTGAGCTGATACTTGACGAGCGATTGTTTTCGAATCCCTTTGCGCTGCTATCAGATCTGCTCGCAGACAAAATCAATCAGCTAGGCTTGAGTTTGAGAAACGGGGAGACGGCTGTTGCCAAAATCGGAGAGGAATGAGGACGGACGGACAAGGCGCAGAGACCCAACGTGGCACAAGAAAAAAATGGAGATCATTCGCGAGTACGTTTTGATGCCTCGATTAATAGTGTCACGTTGCGGACAAAGCGGAAGGGAACCCGCTTCGCTCGCAACCTAGGTGATCTAAAGGATTCCCGAAACAGCAGACAACAACAAGAACTACGTATGAAAATAAGATTTATTTAACAAAAACCGCACCGCAAAAACGAGACAACAGAAAACGCTGGCAAAAACGAGTACCAGGAAAGGCACGAAAAAACCGAATAACAAAAAACGCTCGCACGAAGGCAAGGAGAAAAACAATCTAGTTGCAATAATAATACACACCGAGAATACACACTCCAAATACGAACTAGCGCACAAAGGCGAAATGCGAGAAGGTACTACGACACAATGGGCACAGCAGTGGCACGGCAAACAATTCTCCGGCAAGTGAAAACACGAAAGCCGGCCCTAATAAAGCCAGTGCCTGATTTCTAATGGGTAGCAGGTGTGCATCCGGCCGAAAACACCGTCTGCCACCTGCTGTCGCAAACGGGACATGACAGTACCCCCCCCTCAACCAGTACAGGAAATCAGCTTCCACGACAACAATAAAAATGTTACTGACAGATAATAATTCATCAATTTGTTTCTTTTTGCTGTTGTAGTTAATTGAAATGGATTAACTTGACTTGTACAGCACTACAAGTTCAACTTCATTTATTCCTTCGATGAATTCATGCCCACTAATGAAAAACAATAAAATGATGGTGTGCCTTGCTGATACTTGTTGTGTCCAGGATTGGTCCCCCTTTTTAACAAAAAGTCTAAAATTATATCCTTCATAAAGCCTTTACCTTTTAAATGTGAAGTGTAAAATGCTAATTACCGTTCTAGCTAGCCAATCCAACAACAAAACCACTCAAGTGTAGCTGTGGCAAATAAGGCATGCACCAAAAGGAGTTTGGGGTAAATTATTCTTCATTATAAAAGGGTCATGAGATGCCAAGCTAAGCAAACACATTTCAAAGTCCAACAGCTCCCTTGACGACCGGAGTGGCTGCTCAGATTGAACAGGAAGTTAGCCGTAATTTGCCATGGGTCCTGTCCAGTCTCACAACACCCCAGACATTGTGTCGTCCAATTAGAGCGCCGTCTCGTGCCTCCGCGGCCAATGTTCACGTTCAAGTGGAAATGGATGCCTGTCATCCACAGACAGTTGTTGATTGACTTTTCGGTCATCTGTTTACTACACGCATTCAATCAAAGACTTAATTTCTGTTTTCATTTAGCCATGAGTGTGTCCATCTGCTTTATAGAGCCGGACCAGAATAACACGGATAGATTTCTAAACTCAATTCAAAGTTGGTTTTCGGGATTGAGGGACAATGTGGTTTGAATAAAACGCAACCTTCTTTTTGCTGTGATTGTGTAACTAATGACATTTCAAGCTTTCCTGTTTGCGAAATGAATGTTGTCTTCGGCAGGAGAGACATTTTAACCCATTTTCATGGCATAATTAATTTGTTCCACTTAATAGCTTGGCAAGGCCTTGATTGTACCATCAACATGCTATAACGCAGCTATCAAATCCAC